CCGGGCCGGCCTGCAGTGCCCAGGTGCGGAGTGGCTCTGGAGCCCACCCCTCCCGCCTGCACCACCCTAGGGTAGGATCTCATGGCTTCAGATGGCATCCTGTCCTGCTGGGGGCCTGCAGCCTCCGCGAAGCCGCGCACCGCTGGCTTGTCAGCTTTGATGCTCGACTCCCAGGGAGACCCTGGGGCTCCGTGGACAGTCTGATAAACAGGCACTGAGACAACTGCCGGTGCACATCCGGGGCCTAAAGCCACCACGTCTGCCTTTTTAGAAATTATTGTCTGAGCGGCCAAAGCACTGGTTCGCACCCAGCCTCGAGCCGTGTCTCATTTCCGCACAATTCTGTTCCAGGCTGCCTCGGTGATGGGGTCGAGGGGCAAAAACCCAACGGGGCGCATGTGGTGTCCTGAGAACTTCCTGTGGCGAAGGTCGCCACCCATGTTCCCACTGAGGACAAAGCGACAAGCCAGGTGCGGCCAAGGCCTGTGGCGGAGGCAGGCTGGGAGGAGTGACGGCGCAGCACGCTGTGGCCCAGCTCGGGACACTGTTGACATGTTTTCTGACCCCATTCCTGTCCGGGGTCCTAGGACCCACTCCCCCCCTACCCCCCACCCTAACCCCCGCTCCTAATATGAAGCTTCCCCTGCAGGTGGGGTCAGTGCTCGATGGCTCCCTCATACCGGACTGCGTTAAAGCGAGTGGCCCTGCCCAGTGCCCCTCATCAGCCACCACCCGCGGGCCAGCCAGGTTTCCCCCACCGCAGTCCCAGCGAAGAGGACCCCGTCCAGCCTGGGCTGTGCACACGCAGAGCCCTGCGGCCTCACGCTGGTCGCTGCGCTTCTGAGCCCTGTCCGCCTGCACCGCTGGCTGTGCGGTCCCCGGGCCTGTGGGGGTGGGGACTCCGTGTAGCGGGCAGGACAGTCGTTTCCTCAGATGCTCCGCACAGAATGTGCATCGCTCCTCTCACAGGCCTCCGCCTCCGGAAGTGCTGGCCGCGGTGGGAGTGCAGAGGAGAGCTGGCCGAGGTGGGAGTGCAGAGGAGAGCTGGGGGAGACGGCAGGTAGGGCGCTGCGGGACACAGCCGGATCTTGGCCTTGGGTTTCAGAATGATGCTCTGGTTCTGTAGTGAAACTTAAAAAATGGGTCCCCAGAAAGAGCAGCGGGAAAACTGCGGAGCTGTCCTGCTCCCCATGAGCAGGGGTGCTCCCGGGGGTGCGGCCGGAGGAACCCATTTTCCAGTGAGTGACTGGAGCCAGGAGACTGCGGGAGGCGGCCACAGGCTGAATCTAGGACAGAGCACAGGACCCGCTAGGGTCCTTCAGGGCTGGAGAGGAAAGCTCGCCCCAATGGAAGTGGACATAGTTCCCCCCTCCTCAGGCTCACATTTATCCAGCTTTTTTCCAAAATGCGTAACAGCAAGCGCAGGTCATTCACACGGACATGCTGCCCTGCCTCCGTGTCATTGGGGTGCCTTCCGAAGCAGACCCTCAGAGAGGAACTGGGTGTCTGTGGTTTCTCCGGGGGGTGACCCAGCGGTGGGGGAGGGAAGGAAGCTGACAAGAACACACAGGATCAGGCAGATCCCGGGAGGCAGATAACTAACCGCACGGAGGACTGGACACACCTCAGAGCTGAGCCACAGGGCGGCCTGTGCACCACGGGAGTCCTCTGGCAGGGACAGGCCTTCCTGCTAAGCAGGCGTGAGGAGGGATTTCAGCATCAGAGCCGCGGGCCCTCCCGAGAGCTCCTGGCTCAGTAGGTCTGGATGGGCCCGAGAACTTGCATTTCTCATAAACCGGGAGTGAGCTGTCGGGCAGTGTAGACTCTGAGAACCACCCTCAGGTGTGTGTTGCAGCCCTCAGATGCCCCTTATTGCCAGCTGCCCTCCTCTGTGATTGCACAGGGTGGGGCAAAGGCAGGTTTACAGTTGTTCCTATGGAAATTAATACAATAATCAATAAATAATGATACAAGAATAAACTGTTTTGCGTACTCACAACAGTAAACCTACTTTTGCCCACCCTGTGTTTTCATGCTCCTTCATGTCCCGGGTCCCGGGGTGAGGTTAATAAGTTAGAACTCCGTGCAACCATTGCTGGAAGATAAACTGCCAGCGACCAGCCACCATTTATTCGAATGGGGTGTATACGTTTGCAAGCGACAGAGCGCACGGTTTTAAAACTGGCTCATTTTATAGCAGCCAGAAAAACTGAACGTCATACGAGAACTTTGGAATGCCAGTTGTGATGTGTCTGCACACACAGGCGCCCGCACTGTTATGATGCGTGTGCGTCTGTCCATGTGCCCACGAGGCTGACTGTACAAATCGCACCTTGGACTCCTCCCTGGGTGTTGATATTTTGACTAATGAGGACAACTAGACAAACAGTGAGACAAATGTTGAGAGTCCGGGGACGGACGCGTCCTGGGTCAGACATCTGGAGGAGGGTCCTGGATGCTGCAGACACAGACAGGAGGGCCTCAGGGTCCACGGTGGGGAACGGCAGAGGGACACGAGGGCGGGCAGGCCAGCCGGGGCAGATGGGGGGATGGAGGAGCCTAAGGAGAGAAGGGGCGCCCGTCCTGTGGTCATCAGTGCGCAGTGTCTGCGAGAGGCCAGGCGTGGCAGAGGCCCACCCATCAGCTGCCATGGGGGGCGAGGCGCGGTGCCCTCCCTCAGCCGCTACGTCCCTGGCACTTCCCAGTGTCTAACCAGCCTTCTCGTGCTCTGGTCCATACACTAGTTCCTACGCGGCAGGCGCTGTCTGGGCTCCCGGGATAGAGACGTGCGGGATGGGGGAGCTTCCTGCCTGTGAGGAAACCCAGGAGGACCACAGGGTGTGGGTGAGATAAGCTAGATGGGGCTGTGGCCAAGGGCAAGAGGACTGTGGCGGCCGGAGCTCCTGGGTGGGTCTGAAGGCTTTGGCAACTGAAGGGCAGGAGACACGCAGGCAGAGGAGGCAGGAAGGCCCAAGAGGAGGCGGGACCCTGTGCAGGCACGAGCTGCTGCTGGCAGGGGTGCGGGGTGCAGGTGAGGCAGCTTCCTCACTTCTCTCTTCCTTCCCGCGTCCACAGGGCCCCAAATAAGTGAGTCCCTGAGGCCCCTAAACACAGGGCTCCCTCACATGGGAATTGAAATCTCAAAGTCCCCGTTTGGCTGAGTCACCTCGAGATGCTGTAGGTAGAAAAGTGTGCACGTGGGAGGGCCCGCTGTGGTCCTGAGGTTTGGTGGTTCAGTTAAGTGACAATTAACAAAGCCAAAAATAATGGGAAAACCCATCCTTAAAACAGAATTGCCTGTGACAACTATGTGTTGATTGCACATGGAATGTTCTCTGTTCCTTTGACTATGACTTGTTCTAGAATAAATATTGTAAATTATGTGAATGTTCTTTGTATTCAGATTTAAGCAAGAATTAAACAGTTCATCTTTAAAGCCAAGGATTAGGCAAGAACTCTACATAAATTTAATGTGTAACAATAAGATTTCCTTTTTAAAAAAGCATTTGGATGACAAATTATACATATTGATAAATATTATTTTAAAATGTTGTGTTTGGTTTTCCATTAACTTTTGTGAAACAGAAAAGCTTTCCTGTGAAGTTCTGTGTCTGGGTTTATTGCCCACTCACCACTTCCTGCCGTGGCCCGCAGAGTGGGGATACAAGCCTGATGCAAGTTCTCTCCTCTCCGCTCCACGACAGGGGTAACGCCACAGTCATTTGGCTGACAGCTGGGAGCTCTGGCAATGCGACAGGGAAGGAAATTGGCTTCAATGCCCTCCTCACCCTCCGAGAACCCACATTCCTCCTTCAGGAGATGCCGTGGCCCCAGCTGCAAGCCCTTGACGCGCACCTGGCACGTCCCTGTGCCTCTCGGGTGGCCAGTGCAGGGGCTGCTTGGTCCCCAAGGGTCACCACTGGCCCAGGAGGGAGGTTGCCACCCACGCAGGCAATGCTGCACTTCCCACTGGTTATCAGAAAACGTGCCTTCATTTTCAGAATAGTGCATTTCTGACTCTGGGCAAACCCTTTGATATCTGACCTAGCACTCAAACACTGGGTTGAGGTTTTGCCCTCCGAGAGACCATTTAAAAGCATGGACTTGATAACATAGTTTTCTATAAAATGCACCTTGTTTTCTATTTCGTCCATTGTTTAAATGACTGTCGTTGTAAACTCCGTGGGCAATAAAGAACATCATGAAAAGTCTCGCGTTTGGATGGTGGATCTTGTGTTGCCTCAACAGAGGGGAAGGGAGTTTGAAACCCTTCCACCGGAAGCAGGTTCTCTCGGTCACTCTCCAGTCTCTACAGCGTGAGCACAGCCACGCCTGCCCATGGCCAAGGGCGTGGGTGAGCACGACAGCCGGGCAGACGCATTCTGAGGGGCCTGTGTCAACTCACTGGCCTGCGCAGAAGCAAAGGCGGCAGAAGGCGGGTGCTTGGCTGTGTTGGGGATTTCTTCATGCCTGTGGCCACCATTCTAGTCATGCCAAATGCTGGCCTCGTTCTCTGTAGAACATCACACACACACACACACACACACACACACACACACACACACACACACACGAACTTACCGCTTGTAAAGGAGAAAGCTGGGAAAGGGCCAGTTCCGACCTCTTCTCTCCTTTTGCAAATGGAGAGAACCAAACATCCCGTCTCTTGGCCCCACCTTGACTGCCACGCTCTCACCGCCTTCTCTGTCAAAGGGCAGTCTACTGACCTTCCAACAGCCTGGCCTGTCAACATGGGGACAGCCCGCTGCACCCGGCTTCACGGAACCCAAGATGCACCAGAGGGAAGTATAGGTGGGAAGGTTTCGGGGTTCTGCGTGGTTTCATTCCTGAAGACACACTGGGACCAGGTGAGAGGCCCAGCTTGCATTCCTCCAGGCGTCGCCCCGGCGTGCACCCCCCACATGGACTCCCAACAGCGGTTTACACAAAGGCTTTTGGTTTTATTTTTTAACACACATACATGGGATGTAACGCAGGTTACTAACTGAACGAGACCTCTGGGCAGGCTGTCTGTGGCTGAGCACTCAGACCTCTGGGCTGGCTAGTTAGGAGTGCACATGGCATGTTACAGTTGATTATTTTTTGCACATATCAAATGAACACAATTACTCTTGTGAGTACTTTTCATTCAGATTGTTTGAACGTCTTGTGTTATTTCAAAGGGAAGTTGTGGCTATGGTGCAAAGTGTTACTATTATTAGCACCCGAGACCTGGGCCCCAAACCAACTCGAACCATGACAGGCACGCCGTGACCTCAGCGAAAGGGAATGCCCACCATTTTGGCTCTCTGATGCGTTTTTTTCTGAACCCCGTACCTTAATGCTTAACTTTGCAAGAAATGCCCTGGGTTTTCTCATGTTACAGGGTAAAGGAATAAGTTCTTTTTCAGTGATGTAAAAAGGTAACAAAAAAATGCCACTAACAAACCTCTCCTTAGGAACAGGATGTATGTCGTCAGTAATAACATGAGGACAGTCTCTGGTCACTCCATAGAGATGCCCCAGGACCACAGAAATGTCCCTTAATGACAGGAACTCGTGTCAGAAAAACAGGAGTCAATTTCTCTGCAGAGAAGTTAACGTGTTAATACTACTCCTTCCATCTTACTCAGGTTACATTCGCACCGAAACTAGAACTTCATGAAGGTTCCCCAAGTAAGAATCCTTTTGAAGGTTGTTTGCTTTGATTTTTCAAGAACTCAACATGTCGCCAAAACCGGTTTGGCTCAGCCCAGGTTCGATTCCGGTCAAGGGCATGTACCTTGGTTGCGGGCACATCCCCGGTGGGAGATGTGCAGGAGGCGGCTGATCGATGTTTCTCTCTCATCGATGTTTCTGACTCTCTATCTCTCTCCCTTCCTCTCTGTAAAAAATCAATAAAATATATTTAAAAAAAATAAAAATAAAATAAAAATAAAAAAAAGAACTCAACATGTCAACCGTGTGCTTATGAGAGCTCTACAGACACGGCTCTGGTCTGTGCTCACGTAGAATCCCTTGGGGACGAGCCGCACGAGTAAGGCAGACAGTGACACAGCCGGCCTGTGCCGGAAGGAAGGTTGTGATGGTACACTTCCTGGAGGAGGGCGCAGCCCCCAGCTCACGTCTGCCCCCTGACAATGCAGCTGCTGGAACAGTGACTGTCAGGGCAGCTTCCGGAAGTGGTGACACGCGGCTGGCCCAGCTCCTCAGCTGTGACAACACGGGGTTCTGACGTGGTGCTTTCCTGATCCAGAACCAAACTTAACACAGGATCAAAGCGATGCCTCGTAACCTGTCCGAATTCAGTAGAAATTTTCCATTCAACAGGTGGCTGCTGCCGGCAACTTGATGGGGCAGCCCAGGGGTCTGTCCTGGCTTCTCCGAGTAGGTGCCTTTCTTAGTTGGTCTGGGGCTCAGGCTCCTGAAGGACCTTGGTTGACTTTTTTGTGATTTGGGGAAACCCATGAATAATCATGTAATTTGGCTAATTTGGCTCCGGATGTCCTTAACACTGTGCAGGGACATGAGGCAGGTCCTCGGGGAACTTGGCTGTTCTTGCCAGGATCCTTCAAACACTGACCTGCTCCTGGGCACGTGTCAGGACTGTGTGAGGTCAGATCCACGCTCTGGGACAGCCTTGGGCAGGGCTTTCTGAGAATTTTGGCATCAACACCTGCTCAACTCCAGACTTCACGTCTGTCTGAGGCTGGGACTGGTGTCACCTGTTCCCAGTCATGTCCTAACAGCACGGTCAGAACATGTCTGTGTTACCTGTGAACTGCACTGAGTGCGGCAGCTTCTGCACATGCCACAGTGGCCCCGTGAAGCCCCGTGCAGCTTGGTACCCTTGGAAGGCTTTTGACTGGAAACGGACAAAGAGCACTGTCTACACTGAAATGGGTTGGTGAGCCCTTGAGTCCCAGCCTGAAGAGACAGCCTCACCCAGCAGGCTGTTGGCAAAACAGATTTTCTGAGTCTCAGCTCCGGTAAAGCCCTGGCGAGGCTGCTACATATAAGTGGTTGTGTCAACCTATGACCCAGGAGGTCATGGTCCATTCCCGGTCAGGGCACATGCCTGGGTTGCAGGCTCGATCCCCACTGGGGGTTGTGCAGGAGGCAGCTGATCAATGATTCTTTCTCATCATTGATGTTTCTGTCTCCCTCCCTCCCCCTTCCTCTCTGAAATCAATAAAAATATACTTTTTAAAAAATAAGCAGGTGCGGCAGGGCTGGGTGCTGCTCCTCCCGTGGAGATGCGAGGACCTGCCCCGTGAGCCCCGCCCTCACTTGCAGAGGAGCCCATTCTGCAGGGTTTTGTTTCTGTCAGTTATGCAGGGTGAGGGGGCCGTTTGGGTAATGTCTTCCTTGCTCTTCGGGGAGGGGCTGCTGTTGCTGCCACTGGACTTGCTCTTGCTCGGGTCGAGAGTGAGCTGGATGGGCAAGGAGCGGGTGCCCTGGGCCCTGACCAGGCAGTTGCAGACCAGCCGGAAAAAGGCCCGCCGCATCTCCTTGCTGGCCAGCGTGTAGATGACGGGGTTCATGGCGGAGTTGAGCACTGCCAGCACAATGAACCACTTGTCCTTGAACAGGACGGCACACTCCTTCACTTTGCAGGCCACGTCGACGAGGAAGAGGATGAAGAGTGGGGACCAACAGGCGATGAACACACTCACCACGATCACCACGGTGCGGAGCAGGGCCATGGACCGCTCCGAGTGCTGGGGGTTGGCCACCCTGCGGCTGCTGGACTTCACCAGGCAGTAGATGCGCGCGTACAGGATCACGATGGCCACCAGGATGGCGGTGAAGATGCTAATGCAGAACGCGATGTACTTCTTGGAATAGAGGGGCAGGATGGTGGAGCAGTCGGGGAGGTTTTGCAGGCAGTTCCAGCCCAGGATGGGCAGGGCTCCCAGCGAGAGCGCGATGAGCCAGCACATCCCGATGAGAAGGAAGACTCGGTGCTTCTTGTTGGCATTGTACGGCCTCATTTTGATCATGGTCAGGTGCCGCTCGATGGCGATGGCCAGTAAGCTGCAGGTGGATGCCCCGAGGGCCACGAACATGCTGCCTTCTCGCAGGAACCAGACCGTGGGAGACAGGCTCAGCGTCCTCTTGCCTGACATCAGGATGTTGACCTTGTAGGCGATGCCAGCCAGCAGGTCGCAGAGAGCCAGGTTGCTGATGAAGAAGTACATGCGGTTGTGAAGTTTCTTGTTTTTCCAGATGGCAATCAGAACCATCAGGTTCTCCAGGACGATGAAGCTGCAGATGACCAGGAACAGCACGGTGGTGAGCGCGCTGCCCTCGGGGGCGTCCGTCAGCCGGCCGGCCAGCTTGCCCACGTAGTTGTAATGTTCGTACAGAGTCCCGTTTCCCGGGGAGGGGTTGGGCCGCGGCGTGAGGACCCTGGACATCACTTGGAATTTACAGACCGTCAGATCCACCAGAGGGCGCCTCAGGAACGTCCATTTCTAGCAAAGACCAGCTCAGGCTTCGGGAGTGATCCTGGCCAGACACCTGCTGGGGCGTTGGGAATGGGCTCCTGCAAACAGAAAAAGGAGGGGCCCAGTGCAAGGGTGGCAGCAAAGCTGGAGGAAGGCACCACAAATGCTGAAGCACTGGGACAGCTGGGCCTAGGGGCTCAGAGAGGGCCTCTCAACACAGGCCAAGTTCCCGGTGATGGCGGAGGGCTGGGGAGCGCTTGGTGTCTTGTTGCCAGGAAGGGCGTTCAGGGAGGAGCCCTGCTCATGCACAGACCTGAAGAGAACTTCCCTCTGGAAATGCTATCGGTTAACCCCCACCCACTGCACGGGAGCGGGCACGCCATTGTTCTCCGTTAGCAGAAGCTGAGGAGTGTCTGAGGCCGAAAAAAATAGGACGGACGAGGGAAGGTGCCCACCTGGTTTCTGAGAGCTCTCTGGTGAGTCTTAGAGTGACATCACAGGACAGCCCACACTGCCCGACTGCCTTCCCTGGAGCCCAGCAGGGCCCAGGACAGAAGCCAGATCCTGATGGCCCTTAGGTCTGCAGGGCCCAGAGCCCTGACCTCAGACCACGCTGCCCCTAGGGAAGGACGGCGTGAGAACTCGAAGCCGCTTCGCTGGCGAGCAGCTGAGCGTGGAGCTGGGGAGGGAGGAATACACACCTGTCAAAGTGGAGTCAACTTCCACTGAGCTTAAAGGGAGAAAGAGAAAGCAAGGCCAAGCACGCGGACTTGGAGTTTGACTTAAAATTCAAAGGCCTGAATAGCAGCTGTAACTAACTACCCCACCCACCCCACGCCCCGCCCAAACTAAATCAAATCAGTGCACGAGAGCCCAAAGACACAACCAACTTGGGAGACTAGTGAGACAGTGAAGGTGGTGAGCCCACGAGCCAGGCCCTGGGTGGCCCTGGATTTTAATGCCTCCCCCACCGACCTGGACACTCCCCACCCGGCCTGCGGCCTCCTGGGATGTCCAGGGGGACCCAGCTACCAAGGAAGAAAGGGCTTTCAGTGGACTCACTGACTTTACCTTTAAGTTATTTGAAAAATAAATGCGTAACTAAGATCAGATGGCGTTAATCTAAAACAGCCCACCGTGTGTATTCGGTGAAGTTTTTTTGTACTTTTTAACATTTAATTCACAACCTTAGATTTGGATTGAGGGCAAATGACATGGGGCTCGGCATTTTGGGGTGTGATGGGCTCTGAAGGCCTCACCTACCCACTGAGCTCATCTCAGGCCCAGACAGGCCTTGGCGCCTGGAAGGACACAGGGATCAGCGTGGGCAGCTGTTGTGAGGGGGAAGCAGAGGAGACCCCAACAGGGCGCCCTGCCCATGGGACCCTCCAGGTAACTGCTTTCCCGCCCTCAGGTGCTGGTCCCAGGGCCCTGCAAATACTTCAGGCCCTCCCTCCCGCCCTTCGTTGGCCTGGGAGACCTTGTCCTCTGAGCCCGGGCACAGGGGCCCCACTGTGTCTTCCTGGGTTTCCCCAGTGTCCAGGAGCCTCACTGCTGCTTGTTCTGGAAACCCTGCAGGTCCTGGCACCCGAGCTGCTGCCTGCGCTCAGCCTGGAACTGCCCCTGGCCCTTCCCTGGCCCCTCCATGACAGCTAAGGCCACGGAGGACTTGGAGGTCAGCTTGAAGGCCAAGTGTGGCGGAAACCTCTCCTAACTTCAAAAGGGGACCGTGGGCAGCTCTGTGGCTGGACTAGCAGTGGGGCCTGCAGGGGGCCCGGGCGAGTCTCCTCCGTTGCTCAGCAGCCCAGGCTGCCTCCCTGGCCGTGGCCCACTCAGGCCAGGGGCCTTGCTGCCTTGGGCAGAAGGCAAGACTGCCCAGTGCCCCAAGCCCTGGAACTCCGCCCCCATTGGACAACAGACCTGTATTGCTTCTTCCAGAGTTAACAGGGCAAGTCACCTGGTGTCACCTCCTTTCCTGTCCCTCCCTCATTTTCACTTAAATCTTGTCAGTCCTTCAAGCCTGAGTCAAATGCTCCCTGGTGTGGCATTTTCTAGAATCAGCCCAGCCCGTGCTGACTTTTTTCTGAGGCTGTGCACCACTTTTTAAAACAAATCCCAAGCTGTGTTTTTAAAAGTAGAAATGGTAGCAGCTGGCAGGCTCCGAGCCCTCTGCCTGTAGGGCCTGACCTGATCCTCAATGGCATTCTGAAGCTCACAGCGTCCCCCACAGCACCTGGCACGTTCAGGGGCGCCCAACAATGTGTGCACCCTCTTCACGGCTTCTCTTTATCTGTGAGCAGTGAACGTGGCGTCCCACGCCCCCTCGCTGGAGCCCAAGACCAGGAGAACTCGGCCCCAAGGGCACCCCTGAGTGAGCGCTCACGTGGCCCGCACGGAGGAAGGTGCCGCCAAGGACACCACCAATAGAGGTCCTTGTTCATGGGAAAGGCCCAGCACCAGGGCAGGGAGGAGAAACTGTTGACTGGTTTTCAGAGAGAGAGGAAGGGGAAAGGAGAGAGAAACATCGATGTGAGAGCCTAAAATCCATCGGCTGCCTCCTCCATGCCCCAGGCCGGGGATTGAGCCCACAGCGCATGTGCCCTGACCAGGAATCGAACTGGCAACCCCCGGTGCCTGGGACAACCAGCTGAGCCCACAGGCCAGGGCTAGGAGCATATTTTTTCAAGAACACTTTTTGGTTAAATGTGAGTCTCCACATTTTGTGTAATTGGAAGACATCCAGTTGTCTTTGGAATTTAAAAGCATATTTTCTTTGGATTATCAACATTAGAGAGTAGACCCAGCCTGAGAGTTGAGTGCCGGCTAAGGGCCAGCCTGATTTTATATGCGTCTGGACATTGCTGTGCCTGCTCAACGGCATCTTGTGGGAGGCCAGCTACCTCACCCCAGAAACGGGTCCCAACCCAGCGCCCCTGAGGTTGGCCTCTTGGGGCCCCAAGCCCCTCCCAAATGGGACCACTGTCTGGGCTTCTCATCCCTTAGTACAGCCTGTGGCTGACCTTCACATGAAGGAGCCCAGCAGGAAGCAGCTGTTGGGGGT